GTTCACTCCCCTGCTCAGATTCGCTGCATACCCATCAGGGTACATTAAATTCTTGATCCATCGAAGTACTTCCCTCCTTTCATCGATTTTCAAGACATAGGGGGCCCTAGGCCTTCTCCACAGCTTTCCTGCTGTAGGAGGCCGCATCTCTAGGTTTGGCCTATCGCACAACGTCGCCAGGTCCACTCTAGCCTTAGGGTTGTCCTTAGACTTGTCAGTGTCCATGAGCGTTGCCCAAAGTGCCTCAGCGATATTCTTTTTAGTGTGCATGACATCAATGTTATGGGGCAGTAGGAGGTCATCGAAATAGGGGATCCTCGTCAAGACAGACTTATGAGTCCACATATGTTGCTCACCATATCCCACGAAACCACCATCTTCGTTGGGCACAAGAGCATCTATCTGAGCACGAACCTCCGCCCTAGTCCTCAAGCACGGTCTAGGGTCCATCACTTTGACACCTTTCGTAAAGATCTTGATGTCTTCTCTGAATGGATGGTCAAGAGGGAGGAATTGACAATGTTTGTCGAATGACGAATACTTGCCACCCTTCTTCAACCATATGAACCTCACAGCTTCCTTGCATATTGGGCATGGGAACTTCCCCTGAACACACCAAGCGCACATTAACCCGTACGCCAGGAAGTCGTGCAGGGAGTAGTGGTACCAGACGTGCATTTTGAAGCTAGTCTTCGTAGCTCGGTCGTATGTCCACACCCCTTTGACCCAAGCATCGATCAACTCATCTATCACAGGCTCCATGAAGACACCCATATTACTCCTCGGGTGTCTAGGGATTATCAACGACAGGAACACGGTATGCCGTTGAAAGGAGACACTGGAGGGGAGATTCAGGGGGATGACAAACACATGCCAACATGTGTATGGCGCAGCCATCATGCCATATGGATTGAACCCATCTGTTGCCAGCACGACACGTACATTACGAGCCTCCTCTGCTTTGAGAGGATGCCGCGAATTGAAGTACTTCCATGCATCAGCATTGGATGGATGTACCATCTTCTCAGGATTTTACCGTGTGCCGTTTTTGTGCCATGTCATCTGTTTCGCGGATTCCTCGATCATGAATAGCCGTTGGAGCCTTAGCAGGAACGGAAGGTGTCGTAGGACTCTCATGGGGATCTTAAGCTGCCTCTTCTGGCCATCGCCTGAGTCTACCTCCACGTACCTAGAGGATTTACACTTCGGGCAGTACTTTGCATCCACATGTTCTTTCCTAAATAGGATGCACCCCTTCGGACACACATGTATCTTGTCATACGACATCTTAAGTGCAAGAAGGAGCTTCTCTGACTCGTACAAGTTCTTTGGCATAATGTGTGTCTTCGGTAGCATATCGCTCCACACGGCCACCATCTTGTCGAAGCCTTCTCGACTTAGGTTTAACTCGGCCTTCAACCCCATTACGGGACTAATGGCATCCAGCTGAGAAACATTAGTATGATCGTGAAGGGGTCTCTGTGCTGAGTCCAACATCAGGTAGAAGGCATCTGCGGCAGCCTCCATCTCCTCCTTGTCACGTCCTTCAGCGAACTGAGCTTGGTGCATGTCATCCAGCATGTTTGCTACCCCGGCATCATCATCGAAAGCCTCGAGCCGTGGTCTCACCACCTCCTCCCTGATACGATCGGCTTCACCATGGTGGATCCACCGGTGGTAGCCTGGAGTAAATCCAAACTTCACAATATGTTTACCCATGGTTAACCTATCTTTCCTTCTTCTGTTGTCACAACCGCTGCACGGACAAACCACTAGAGAATGGCCTCCAGCACTCTCGCCAAATGCATGCTGTAAGAATTCTTCGACCTTGACTATAAACAGCAAGTCGTAATCGTGCTCGTCTCTCCGAAGCGTGTACATCCACTCACGGTCCTCCATCCTTTAACAGACGTATCAGCACATATGAGTCACCATCAATTGCATCTACGTGGTGTCCCTACTCTCTAATAGGTGAGGATAGGTCCTAATCCCACCCGCGGATCTGTAGATGAGGTCAGTTTCCATGCTCTGCTCCTATCCGAGACAGAATTTCGGCAGCACCTCCCCGCTGTTCTCCCGATACACGTCCTGCAAGGGAGAGTGTGTATCCAGAGAACAACAGGGGGTGATGCCAAAACACCGTCTCGGACCGGAATGGACCATGGAAACTAACCCATCTACGCATCCGCGGGCTGTCCAAAAAACGTGGACAATCCAAAATAGAAACGCTCGTAGATATGCAAAGACCTGCATAACTCCGATCGTATCTCTTTCGGATGGGAGACGCCTAACTAGGATCAGCGACCTAAGACCATGATACGGATAGAGGGGTTATACCTAGGGTGCCGGTGAGGTCAGGCTAGCGGGGCTGTGGTGAGTCGGTGCAGTGGCACCGCGACGCGGTGCAGGCAGACCCGCAACGCTGACGAAGACAATCGGGTCACCGAGGTCCCTCCGCGGGGGCCTCATCGTGCATAAAAAGGCAATACATTAGTGACAATTGAAAATTTCGACAGAACCTCCCCTGCACGGGGAGGTTTCAAAAACCTGCAAAAAAGATCGGCACGAAGGCCAACATCCACAAACAACGGCTCGATGGCCGAAAACCACAAACAACAACTATTACTACTAACAAGGGCTCGATGGCCGACATCCATTGCACGATTTGAATAGAAAGGGAAGGGCGAACCTAGTGTGCTCATCGACGGTGGGCGGAGTCAGGAGCGGGGCGCCGAGAGCACGGCACCACCGCTAACGAGGCGTGGACAGCGGCCGGGGCTCCTCCTCCCTTCTCCTCTCCACCTCCCTTCTCCTTCTTCCTCCTCCCTTCTCCTCTCCTCCCTCCCTTCTTCATTCTTCCTTCTTCCTTCTTCCTCCTCCCTTCTCCCTTCTTCCTCCTCTTCTCCCCTTCCCTTCTCTCCCTCCTCCCCTGCTCCTCCTACCACCCCTGCTCCTACGGGCAACGCGGCCAGGGAAGGGACGACCGGGACACGGCCGCCGCTGCCGGAAATGGCCGGCCGGCACCAGCCAGCCACCTCTAGGTGGCCGAGGCGAGGGAGGCCGGGCTGGGAGCTATCAGGCAGGCTGGGGCATGGCGGGGGGTGGGCGCGGCTGGCGCATGTCATGGGCGAGGCCAGCCGGAGGAGCTGGTGCGGCCGACGGCGGGCACGGCAAGACGCGGGCGTGAGGGCAGGGTTTCGCCATGGCGGCGGCGATTCGCCAGAGGGCGCTGGCAATGGGGGAAGTAGTGGCAGGTGTGGTGTAAGCATGGCGGCGGCTGTGGTAAAAAATTGAGAAGGTTTCGAGCAAGTTGTGACATCGGATGCCAAAAGCCCAGACATCTCCCACAGCCTCCACATGCGATAACAAGACGCCTCGACAAGTTTCGTGATTTTCGGACTTCGTTTGCATTTTATATAATTTAAAATCACATTTCCGGCAAGTACCTCGACATGTTACGTCAACGAGATGCTCGAGATTTCATGTGAGTTCCTGGATATGGCCTAAACATACCCTAAATATCATGAGTATTAATTTTTGGATGACAAAAGTCCATTATTCCATGTACCTGCAGTTCAAATTTGAAATATCCCGAAAAATTCGACGAAACGAAATAAACTAATGAAATATATCAAAAAAAGTCGAAATTGCCCCAAATTTTAAAATAGAGTTTGAAATACTGTCACAAGGCCCCAAAAAAAATTTGGGCCCAAGATCAAAAATAAAAAAAAAAATTTGCCGAGTGCCATGGGGGGCACTCGGCAAAGTGGGCTTTGCCGAGTGCCAGCCCAGGAGGCACTCGGCCAAATATGATTTGCAAAAATAAAAAAAATTGCCGAGTGCCTGGCGCTAGCACTCGGCAAAATAAGTTTTAAAAAATAAAAAAAAATTTACCGAGTGCCCAAGGCTTACACTCGGCAAAATATCTTTTTAAAAAATAAAAAAAAATTGCCGAGTGCCTGTGTCTGGCTCTCGACAAAATAAGTTTTAAAAAATAAAAAAATTTACCGAGTGCCTATCTCTGGCACTCGGCAAAATATTTTTTAAAAAATAATAAAAAAAATTTGTCGAGTGCCATGGGCTGGCACTCTGCAAAATATATTTTTAAAAAATAAAAAAAAATTGCCGAGTGCCTGGGGCTGGCACTCGGCAAAATAAGTTTTTTTAAAAAAAAATTTGCCGAGTGCCAGCCGTTAGGCACTCGGCAAAATCTGACGGCAGGTGGCCGCCGTCACGAGCCGGCCACCTTTTGCCGAGTGGGATCTTTGCCGAGTGCAGCCCAGTTTTGCCGAGAGCCAGGCTTTACCGAGTGCCTGGCACTTGGCAAAGCCACCTTTGCCGAGTGCTTTATTTTGCCGAGTGCGACACTCGGTAAAATATTGCTTTGCCGAGTGCCCCGATAAAAAGCACTCGGTAAAGTCTCAGGCACTCGGGAAAGTCCAGTTTTCCCGTGGTGGGTGGATGAAGACGACCCTTCTTTGTGAAAGCGATCATAATCAGTTACATGCATGGTACTCCATTATAAGTATTTCAAAATCAATTAAAATGTTGTGGCATCATAATGTGTTGCCTCTTCCTTCTTGCATGTATGGTACTCCATTATAAGCAAAGTAACTTGGATTGGTTGGTACTCCATTATCTTCGCTTTCTATCTACTTTCATAAAGGAGGACGACCTAAAGTCTTTGGTCCAAAAATTTAAATAAACTGATGACTACTCCACTACTATAAATCTCCTGTGTTCAGCATGACTATATATATGCGCAATGCAAGCTACTCTAGCAACTACTCCATAAGCCTCATCAGCTAATTAAGAGCGCATGCATGCATAATACTGCTTTCTGAAAAGAAAACAGAGCTAGCTACCTCTTGGCTCTTGCTAAGCACGTCATCCTAGCTAACATGATGGCCTCGACGTCCGGTTACACCAATCCACCACTGATAAACGCCTTGTCCCTCGTTGTTATCATGTGCTGCGCCACAAATTTGCCATACGCAGCGATGGCGGCGGGCGGCCGCCGTGAGGCCTCTACGGTCTCCGGCGGGGACGACGTCGCCCAGGACATGGCGATGAGGGCGCGGTACGAGACGTGGGTGGCGAAGCACGGACGCACGTACAAGGACCACGCCGAGAAGGCGCGGCGGTACGAGGTGTTCAGGTCCAACGCCGAGTTCGTCGACTCCTACAACGCGGCGGCGGTGGGGGCGCGGGGCAAGAGCAGCATGTCGAGTCCGCGGCTGGCGACGAACAAGTTCTCCGACCTCACCAGCGAGGAATTTGAGGTCATGTACCTTAACGACAACGTCGGCAAAGTCGGACGGCTCATCAGTAAGCGCTTCAATGGCAGCATACCGGGGTTCATGTACGGGAGCCTCTCGGAGTCGGACGTTCCGGCTAGCAGGAACTGGACAGCCATGGGCGCCGTCACCGCTGTCAAGGACCAAAACAAGTGTGGTCAGGACAGAGGATCTCTCTCTCCATATATATATCTAGCTATATATAGCTAGCAATTTCCGTTCATAATAATCTTATTAGCATGTTCGTAACAATCTTTCTGCATGCAATGTAAACATGCATCAGCGTCTTGCTGGGCGTTCTCGGCGGTGGCGGCCGTGGAGGGTATCCACGCGATCAGGACCGGCAACCTGGTCTCCCTCTCGGAGCAGCAGCTGCTGGACTGCTCCACCGGAAGGAAGAACCGCGGCTGCAACAAGGGCGACATGGAGGAGGCCTTCCTGTACATCGCCGGGCAAGATCATCGCCCTCGTCGGAACCACAGCCGCGTCGTCCCGTCGGCCACCAGCGGTGTGTTCTGGAACGGCGGGCTCAGCGAGGACTCGGCCTACCCGTACCTAGCCGTGCAGAGCAACTGCAGCGCGTTGACGAAGCCGGCCGTCGCCGCCATCCGGGGATTCCAGTACGTGCCCGCCAACAACGAGACCGCGCTCCGGCTGGCCGTCTCCAGGCAGCCTGTGTCCGTGGCGCTCGACGCCAGGAGCAAGGCTTTCCAGCACTACTCGAGTGGAGTCTATGGCGCGGCTGGCGTCGTCAGGTGTAAGAATAGTAGCCTCAACCATGCCCTCACCGCGGTGGGGTACGGCACGGATGAGCACGGCACTAGGTATTGGTTGATGAAGAACTCCTGGGGAACCGGCTGGGGCGAGGGGGGCTATGTCAAGATCGCAAGGGACGTGGCGACCGATGCAGCAGGCGTTTGCGGCCTCGCTGTGCAGGCCTCCTATCCCGTCGCCTGAATGCCTGATTGATGATGATGATCACATATGAAATCCCATTGGGCATGGGGCTAGACTATCCCTAGTCAATGCATAGACGCCCACCAACAAGGATAATAATAAAAAAAGACCAAAAATGTCATTACTCTGATACGGCCCCAAATTAACTTAAAGGTGTATTTTTCTTTTTAATTAACACAAACTGAAGTTGTTGGTGGCACTATCGAAATGATTTGTAGAGATACCTCTGTCTCTAGAAATCAACGATTTGTAAAGATGACAGGACCGTCCCTAAAAATCAAATTTCAGAAGTCACAAGTAGGAAAAAAACTTTTTTTTTGAATGTGGGGAAACCCAACAGAAGTCAAATGGTTACGTGATTATATCTCACAAAACACGCATACATGCTGCCGTGGGGGCTCAAAATCGCAATTTCCAAAATTGCGCGTACCTCTCCCAACCACTTCCACCCTAAAGTCACTTGTGACTAAAGTGTAGATACGTTATATTTAGTTTATTGGATTTTGAAATAATTTTCGAAGACCTCAAACGAATTCAAATGTAAAAGGCTTCAATTGAAAAGTTATAGATATTGCAATACAACTTTCTTTTTTGTTGTTTCTCTATCCGAGGTCGTTTAAAATTTTTGAATTGCAATATGTGAGGACTTCAAATTAATTTTTGCGACCATAGATTATTTCAAATAAAAAGTTTCTCAATTGTGATGTTTTATATCTTTTCAAGATCTGTTACTTTGGTTTCCATCATTTATCCATATGATGTCGTTTGAAAAAGAAAAAAAATGAATTTTAAATGTGAGAACTTCAAACAGAATTTGTGGGATTTCAATGATTTCGTATGAGAAAATTGTCAACTAGCTACAAGGTTGTAGATCTCTTCGACATATACAACTTTAATAAAGTTTCTCTTCATCTAACTTCATTGGTAAAGGTTATGAATTTTACTATATGATGCACGTATTTTTTGAGACGACTGTACATCCATTCTCCTCAAAAAAATGACTTTTATAGGCAGACCGGCTTGGGAACCCTTTTTGGAGGCGGGTTTTGATGATAGAGTCGACTCTACTAAAAAAAGCCTCCATTACTAAAAATCAATTGTGTAGAATTTAATACTTGTACAGGGTATCCCTTGTAAACTATATATATTTCTCTTTTTCGTTCCTTGTCTTGGTCAACCATGCCCTCTTCAAAGTCAGCCCTCCACTCTCCTTACCAGTCAACTGCCAGAAGCTCGCCCCTTTCCTCCCTGATCTCCTCAACCATAACAAAGTGCCACCTTAGCCACAACCCTGTTACATTATTGTGCTACTCATTCCTAATGTCTGAGCCATCCTTCTGGAAAGGGGATGTCTATCTGGATTTGAGTCTTTTTAGGGTTGTTGACACATTTGTTTGGCCCAAATGATATAAATCCAACGGTGCCTACTACATTTTCCTGTTGCGATGAGCTCACTGTCATGCAACTCATACCTCCCCGCTGCTAGAAACCTTCCATCTCCACAACCCTCTCCCATCACGCTCATGGGGCGGCCTTAGCAGTGACACCACCCAACTAGAATCCTCCACACCGCAAACAGTCTAAGCCTATCGTGGCATTGCAGCCCTACCCACTAATCGTTGCATCCATCAGACTATCCTGCCACTGACAACCTTCACATAATCTTATGCTCTTCAGTGAAAAGCCCACACGAAAAAGCCGCCCTCTAAATTCTAAACCCTAAACAAACTAGTTGAGAGTTTGAATCACACAAAAACCAAACGACCGAGAGCTCGACGTTGAGGGTCATTCAACATTTTGCTTGGAAAAATCTGTAGTTGTAGCCCTGTTTTGTACATAGCGCGTGGATGCCACACGTGGTAAGCTGTGTCATCCCTTCTCCTTATGATGCCACACCTGCCCTCCATAATCTCCTTTTTGATACATATTGTGCATTGAAGATCATCCTTGTATTGTGTCAATCCATCAATGTTTCTCACAAAGCAAACAAGCTATTGGCCATGAGTTCCAAGGCCATGCCACCTCCATCACTTCAAGAAATGTTGTGGTGTTGTAAACCTACAAGGACCCATTTGTACCTCAGCTTCTCGTGTTGAGGCACTTAGCGACGCTTTCTCTATATCGTAGGCGCGCCTTTGTTGGCCATTCCGTGGGATCATGTATCTTTTCACTAAGGTGTACCTTGGTCATCGTCATTTGTAGGAGCTCACCAGGTTTTGTCTTGGTGGAAAGCGGGGGGCACGACAAAGGCGAGGACACTTCCTTTGTCCCTCCCTCGACCGAGAGCAAAGAGGGGATGGAAGGAGCCGGCAGTCAGAAGCGAGGATGGTCTAGTCTAGGTGGTCCCCCCACTCAGGAATGCAACCAGGCGTTAGCTGGGGATGGTGTAACTATATGACCGGATTGCCCTTGGACTTGTGGAATATGCCGCAAGTTTGGAAAAGGTATGGGGGCAATACTGTCCTCTATAATGGCCGATGGAGCCTATAAATACTGCCCTCAAGCGACTTTGATGGGAAGGACAAATAGTGATATTTTGTACCCCCATACTCCTTTCGCTTGTGTAAGGAAAATAGACCCTAGGCCCATTTACTTTGGATTTTGGTGTTTGATGACCAACACAACCAAATTGGACTAATGAATTTGCAAGTAATTGTTTTATAGTTCAATAGGGTGCAAGACGTGACTTGGACAAAGGCGACATGATGATCCCATGATCAACACCATAAGCAAGACCCTAGAAGCACAAGAGAAGACCCAAGATATCAAGCAAAGTCCAAGCACAAAGTTGGGAACCAAGCCGGACGCAAGATCACGAAGAAATGAGCTCCGCAGAGGTGACTGGACGCGGCCCTAACAAGCACCGGACGCGTCCGATCAGTTGCTTGGCAACACCAGGCGTCGGCAGTTGTGACCGGAGGCTGAGCAGTAGTGACCGGACGCTGAGCGAATCAGTGACCGGAGGCACCGGTGACACTGTTCATCATCACGGCAATGTTTTTAGCGTGACCGGACATAGCGGCACTGGACGACCGGACACACAAAGTGCAGCATTCGATCATTTCTAGAGAGGTTCCAGAGCGGCGCCAGTGTGACCGGACGCGTCGGATCGATGATGACCGGACTCAGCCCAGCGTCCGATCAACGTGCACGCTTCAACAGTCGGGATGACCGGATGCGTCCGGTCAGGACGACAGCAGTGTCTGGTCAGTAGCAGAAAGGTGGGTTTTGTCACGAACGTCTACTTTCTCAGTGGGGCTTATAAATAGACCCCCCAACCGGCCATTTGATTGAAGTGGAGCTAAGGAAACATAGCAAGGGTGTTAATACACCATTTTAGTGATCTTCACTTGCATACTGCTTAGTGATTCATTAGATGATTAGCGTAGGTGCTTTGCGAAGTGCTTATGTTGATTAGACCACCGCTTATGCACTTGCTCTAGGTTTAGGCCTAGTGTTTAGTGAGGTTTGCATATCTCTTACCACTTGTTGCTTGCGCGCACCATTGTTTTACATCGGAGGGGCTTGTAGTCTTGCGAGATCACACCAACCGCGTTTGTGGTGTGGCCGCCACCATGTACCGAAGGGAACAAGGCCAGCGGCGGTTCGGCCAGAAGCTTGATAGTGAAGACGGCGGGGAGCGGTCCAGGAGAGGCTTGCCGGAAGGCACAACAGAGACCCACTTGCGCATGGGGAAGGCCTAGGGCTATCCACGGAGTTACCCAACCAGGAGCTTGGCTCTTGCGAGGGATTCCTTGCGAGGGGCTCCAACGAGAACTAGGGGGAAGCTTGCGCGCTTCTTGATACCTCGGTAAAAATATCGGAATTGTCAACGGGAGTTTGCATATCTCTACCTTACTCTTTAGCTTCTGCATTTACATTGTTTGCATAACTCCTATTGCGGTAGAGATAGCAACACACTAGCAAAGCCGTAGTTGCACATTTAGATAGTTTATCTTTTGCATAGGTTTTGCTAAGAATAGAAAAAGAGACCATAGTTTAGAGTTAGACTTTTAAGTTGCCTAATTCACCCCCCACCCCTCTTAGGCGTCATGGTCCCCCTTCAATTGGTATCAGAGCCGGTTGGCTCAATTTGGACCTTTGGCTTCACCGCCGTTGAGCCGATGCTATTTAGAGTGGTTGGGATGGATACCTCTAGGCCTCCACACTTTGACAGCACTAACTTTCCTTACTATAAAGCTAGAATGGTTTGTCACCTTGAGGCGATAGATTTGGGTGTTTGGATAGTCACTTGTGACGGGATGAAACCCATTAAGAATTCCGATAAACCCACAAAGAGTGAAGAAAAAGAAATTCATTTCAATGCTAGATCTAAAAATTGCTTGTTTAAATCTTTTAGCAAAGATGTGTTTAACCAAGTGTTCACTTTAAATGCGGCACATGAAATTTGGTTAAAACTCCAAGAGCACCATGACGGCACAACTAATGTCCATGAGCAAAAACATTGTGTAGCTAAACAAAATTATGATTCCTTTAAAATAAATGATGATGAGCTTGTTCATGATATGTATTCTTGTTTGAATCTAATTATCAATGAGCTTCATTCAATAGGATTAACAAAGCTAGATGATGCAGATATCATGAGGAAGATCATCTCCGTGCTACCACAAAAGAAATATGCAAGCATCATCACCATCCTTCACAACATGGAGGACTTGAGTACCATGACCCCGACCATAGTCATTGGCAAGATAGTGGCATTTGAAATGTCACGCAAGATGGGTCAAGAAGAAGCATGTTCATCAAGCAAAGGCAAAGCTCTCGCATGTAGTGAGAAAAACAAGATGAAGGGCAAGCAAGTTGAGACAAGCTCAAGCTCAAGCTCAAGCTCCTCAAGTGAAGATGAAGAAGAAGATGAGGATGATGATGATGATGAAGATTCAAGTGATGATGATCAATCTTCCTCCTCCACCTCCGACCTTGATGTAGAATCAAACAAACTTATCAACAAGGTGGAGAAGATGATCCAAAAACTCAAT